TCGTCCTCACCGCTAAGATCCAGGGGCTCTCTCTCCTGTAAAACAGAATTATACACAATATTAATTTGTGCAGCGATTAAGGAGCAATGTTTGTGCACGTGCTACCGTCACAACACAGACACAGAAGCAGAGCACTAAACAGGAACACCGACAGTTTCTGTCAACGAACCTGTCCCTCCTACATAAAGGGGCAGCTTGACCAAGATCAGAGGAGAAACAAACGTGTTTAACGTCCATGCACTTATGTATCTTTAAATAAATTCAACATGAGACAAAAGGCTGGACATCTTTTCCAACAGTTAACTTACCGAAATTTCAATTTCTCTTGGTGAACCTATGAAAAAATAAGACTCCGTATGAGAGCTGGACTGAGCTGTCATTCTTTACTCAGACTTTACTGAAGACATGCAGATGTCACGTCCCTTAGGGGTTGCAAAAGTTAGTCATAAACAGGTAAAAACACTTACTTTTATGTTTTGCCTTCCTGTATTTCAATACAAATACCATTCCAGCAACAAGACCAAGAAGAAGAAGAAGAACTCCAACAATGCCTCCAATAATTACACCAACATCTAAAACACAAAGAGGAACGTTTTCTTCCTAAACCACTAAACCAATGTTTTCAAATGACTCTGATTTAAAGAGCATTTATTTCACAGCGTACTGTTAGTCTCCTTGTTGCAAACCGTGTTGCTTTTGGTTGTACAGGGTTCTTTAATGCCAGCAGACCCACACCTTGAATGAAACAGAAAAACAAGCGTTAGTGACTTGGACCTTTTACACTTGTCAGACTTTCAAACAGTGCAAGGCGTCTTTGAGGATGACTCAATCCTCTGTCACATTATAGAGGATGTTAAATTAAACCCTGACTTATAAGACTTTAAACGTTACAATTACCCTCTTTGGAATAAATACTTTATTTCAGACCCCTTAAAAATCCTATGATAGTTTAATTATGTTACAACTTGTATAGATCAGCGGTGTGTGTTAAGTGTCATGTGTTGACGTTTCCAGACAAAAGAATACAGTGAGACAGCTTTATTAAAATAAATAACAGAATTATTAATTTTTAATATAGTATTAGTCAGGGTTCCTTCTAGACTGAGGAAGTCCTCTGGATGGGGGACAAAACATTTGGTCCAGATGACACGATTTAACTTTTTTTGTTGTTATCTACCTGGATGATTGAGCTTACAACCTTTATTCCTTCTACAGCCTGACTGATATATCAGTAGGGCCAATATTTTAGGGTGCTATAGGTATTTGGGGACACACCAATTTCATTATTGGTGACAACTGTCCCATTATGCGCCAATATAAACACTTCTAATTTTCACCCCTAAATGCTGGGAACAAGCTGTGTCCTTACTTGCAAATGGTGTAATTGTACATTGTATCCAGCAGAGGGCACATGCGAGCTACTTTCAAGTCATGACCATGCAGCACGCTTGACTGACAGAACAGCTGGGAGCAATACTGGGTAGCCGTATGTTTTGATGAACAGAGCATAGTAATTTATTTTAACTGATCTGTAAGATAAAATAAATAAATAAACCAACAATAATAAAGTATTTTCAATTCTCCAACCCACTTGTCATTAGCTATGTGCCTCTTAAGTTGGCAAGCTAATGTTTATATAACGAGCATAGACTATTAAAACTTTAGCCAGAACAATACATCTAACATGGAGGTAAATATATATCAGTGTTAGGAAAGTTGTCATTGTTGTCCTCAATGAAATGCATTGTTTGTCTGAAATCTATACTTCTCTACAAAAAAAAAAAAAACGACCTCTGCTGCAGTTAACACTAATTAGATCATAACCATACGTGAGTGACCGTTTAAACAATGAACAGGGGAGGGCGTCTCCTTGTTTAATTTATACTTATGTAACTCGCTAGATAACTTTATGGTGAATAGTGGAGGACAGAAAATGTGAACGCACGTTAGGAAGACTCTTTCAAGACTTCAAGTGTTAGAACAGGTTTAAAAGTAGCTGTTTACTTAGATTCTACGGGGGTGGACACAGATCAAAAATTTCCTGCCAATATACTGGTTATCAGCATTAGGCCACCTCCAAATATCGGTATCGGCGATAGGCAAAATTTTTCCATATCGGTCGAGCTCTAGTTTCTTCCAATCATATACAGATGTCCCGGAGTACCTGGAGAAAACCCACGCATGCACGGAGAGAACATGCAAGCTCCACCCAGAAAGGCCCGGATTTGAACCGGGGACCTGCTCGCTGAGAGGCAGCAGCTCTACCAGTTGTGCCACCATGCTGCCGGTGCTAAAATCATTTTAAATAATTTATTTTAAATAAAAATTACATGCCAATCTTATGACTCATCCATCAACCCACCAATTGTGTGTCATGTCCAATCTTACTTAAAAAAAAAAACGTGAAAGAGCGAGTCCACAAAAGTCGAACCGTGAAGTAGCGAGGGACTACTGTACAACATGAACGTATCAGTACAAATATGATTGAAGTTTATAGTGAGTGTAATGAAAGTAAAATTCACTGTATAATTGTTTAAAGTGTACATTTGAAAGGGCAGAACTTACGTATCACAAGGCTGGCAGACTTTACACATTTCTGTGCTGCTGTTGCAGAAGTGATTTAGTTTACAGCGACACTTGGTGTTCCTGCCAACGGTGCATTCTTCCTCCACCTCTAGGTTAGCTGAAAGGACAGAGGCAAAGATTTTATTTTATTTTTTTACACAAAGCAAATACAAAATAACAACATTTTAAAATCCAAAGTGATTAACTCGGTCAGTAAGTTACAACAAAAAGTGCTCAATAATGTAAAAATGTTTGAATTTTTCTAGTTCTACATTTTGTTTTATATGTAAACACAAGGTGATAATAGTGATCATGCTGAGACTATAGCTACTATTTTGTAATAAGTGTAACTATATGATGCTTACTGTCATTGTGTGATGGTTTATTGATATAATTACACAGAACGATGGAACTATTAATGGAGTGGACATAAACTTATTTCTCACTGTGTAAAACAAATTTTGTCAGATTTTATCTATATTTATTTTTACATTGCGTGTTATTTTTTTGCTGTAATAAAAAAAAAAAAAAAATGCACCACCACAGTGGAGATGTACCGTTGGGTTGATCACATGACGTGCAGGGTTCACAAGAAGTCTGAAAATTAGGGTGGGTGCTGTACGTCTTATCTTCACAGAACTCGCAGATTCTGTCATCTGGTTTGGAAGTGCAGTGTTGTTTGAGTCGCTGACCTGCGGCGCGGAGAAACATGAATCAAACGTAAGACAAAACTAAGAGGGAAAACAGCTGGAAAACAAGTGTTTAAAATGTAAACTTTCATTCAGAACCGCTAATATCACCCTTCAGAAACATCTCATGTACGACAAAGCATGCAAGGTCCTAAAGTTATTCAAATTAGCATCAAATGTTAAAATAAGAAATGTATAATTGTCTTAAAGAACCTCGGAATTACCAGATAGTGAGTAAACGTCATTACAAATAAAAACACAGAGTGTTAGTCTGATATGTCTACTTCACATCCTCCTTCAACACCATGATCCCCCAAACCCTGATGGACAAACACTGGGACTAAGCCCCTCCATTTGACACTGGGTACTAGACTTCTTAACAAACAGACCACAGTTAGTGAGGATCCACAACTTTTCCTCCTCCACCATAACCCTCAGCACTGGCTCTCCTCAGGGATATGTGTTGAGCCCCCTCCTGTTTACTCTGCTCACATATGATTGTGCAGCTACCCATCCAGGCTGTCACATTGTAAAGTTTGCAGATGATACAGCGGTAGTTGCATCACAAACAATGATGAGTCGAGCTACAGGCAAGAGGTGGAACACCTGGAGAGCTGGTGCAAAGAGAATAACCTTCAGATCAATGCGAAAAAGACAAGGAGATGATTGTGGACTTCAAAAGGAACAAACACACTTACACCCCCTTGATGAACATAAGAGGATCTGCAGTAGTGGTCTCCAGCTACAAGTACTTGGGTGTACAAATGTATGACAACCTCAGCTGGGACAACAACATCACCAGCCTGATCAACAAAGATCATCAGAGACTCTACTTCCTCATTCGGCTGAGACGAGCTGGTCAGGGAAGCTCAGTCCTCACCTCCTTCTACAGGTGTGCAGTGGAGAGCATCCTGTGCTCCTATGGCAAGCCCTTTTAACATAAAATAGGATTCACCACGCTTACATTCCAGATATCTGAAACTGAGTTTTGACTAGACATATTGGTTATTTAAGATATCTTGAATTGCATTTTGACTAGTCAAAATACTCATTTAAGATATCTCTAATTACATTCTGACTAGTCATAATGACGTCAGATTTACCATTGAGTTGTATGGAGGCTTCAATTCAAGATATCTTGAACTGAATTTTGACTAGTCAAAAATACAGTTCTAGATATCTCTAAGTTAATTTTGACTAGTCATTATTTGCTTTCAAGATATCTCACTTTTAGTTCTGACTAGTCATAATTACAATTAAAGATATCTTAAATTACGTCATTATTCAAGATATCTTAAATGTATTTGTAGATATCAAAAATGAAGTTTTGACTAGTGCAAATTAAATTGTAGATATCTTGAAAGCAAATAACGACTAGGCAAAACTAACTTAAAGATATCTAGAACTGTACTTTTGACTAGTCAAAATTCCTTTTAAGATATCTCAAAATGAATTCAAGATATCTTGAATATTTTATCATGTAGACGGCTTTTCTATTTAAGATATCTTGAATTCACATTTTGACTAGTCAGAATGACATTCAAGATATCTTGAATTGTTATTCTGACTAGTCAAAACGTCACAGATTTACGTAGCATTTTGGCGGAAAAATCATAAAGCATTGTAGCCTTTTTATTTTATAATCTGCAAAATCAGGTCAGTCCAACACAACGCTCGTATTTTTAACATGATTTTTAGCGCGGCAGCTCGGATTATTTATTGTATCTGCAACAAGAATACTCTTTTGCGACGTCTTTTTCACGACAACCGGAAACCGACACTTCCTGCTTTGCGAGTTTTTGCACTGAGGAGAAATGTCTCTCTTTTCAACATCTTTGCTTAATTTGCCAACTTTTCTTTCGCTGCCGAGGAGGAAATCGCAGCGGCGAATTCTCGAACTAATAAACTTGAAAGGATAAAAGTTCTTCCATGAAGAAAATATCCTCAGCTGTCAAGGTAAGAAAAGACGTAGCTTAGCAAGCTAACCGTTAGCTACAACATATGAAGCGCATAAACATCGAGATAAAGAAGCCTAATTTAGTGTGCTACATTATTTGGAGTGTTTGAGACAGACATGATATAAAATCTTTAATTATATTTTTATGAGGTTCCATTAGTGCCAAACATATGTTTATGTGTATGTAGCGTGCTGTGTATATGTAAGGTGATGTGTTAAATGAATCCATCTACAATCTATTACTTGTTTAAAGCTAAATATGTTATAACAAGTATTAATTATATATATATGTGTGTGTGTGTGTGTGTGTGTGCTAAAAACAGATCTATTTTAGATCTCACTGGGTGTTGAAAAAAGAAATGTTGGCTTATTTCTGTAGAAGTGCAGCTGGTGAAGGTTTTTGTAACCATGTAGTTGCACTTTTTTTTTACCAGACTGCCCACTACTCCCAACTCCAGCTGCCAACTGGTCCTCCTGTACTGGCCCGCACAAGAGATTTACAAAGAAGGCACAGACAAAGAACACAGGTAAAAAAATAAAATAAGAGTGGAACACATTCTTTTCTGTTATATTATTTAGTATATGATGGTTATGATTCTCATCACAATAATTGTAACAACTTTCCCACCTGTATATTATTAGTGCCATGTGAAATTTGTCATAGTCTCAATATTACTTGTGTCAAATATATTTTTCTCTCCTAACTTGTTTAGAATTGTTTGTTTTTGTAGGTAATGAATAATGCAGGTTCAACCTCTATGAATTAGTAATATTTGCAAGTTAAGTAAAAATCTTAACTCTCAGATCTGTCTCATTGTGTCCTACCAAATTGCTCATTTGTCTCTTTACATTTATTTATTTTTTATTTTGACGTATTTTTATGTTTATTTCTTGAAAGGGAATCCATCCTGAACCTGCCAGCGAGGTGGTGGTGGTGTGAAAGCCCAAAACTGGTGAAAAGATGTTTGCACTCCACGCTTTACAGAGCTTTCACAGGTATAACCTTTGGGTTAATGTTTTTATGTCCATGTTTCCTTTGTCAGAACTTATTGTGATTCTGTCACTCGTGTGTTTGTAGGACCACTTCCAGATCCTGACATCCTGGCATCGGGAGAAAAACAGCACCAGCTGGCGTCTCAACCACTTATCACACTTATCCTAGAGATGGTCTCTCAGCTTTGGAGCTGGTACCATCCAGACTTGGGCCTGTGCCACAGGGCTCACTGAGGTCTCACCAGTGCCCACCTGAGAAGTCCTGCGCAGCATCATTCTGCACCACATGGCTCCAGACCTCCCTGCTCTTCCTTCGATGCTGCATAGTCTTCCCAACATGTGTTTTGTGTCCACACTTGATCAACTTATGCACCTTCAGTCTCTGCAAGTGTCACATTAAGTACAGGCCAGAACCAGGGAGCAGTCCAGATGTCCTGCATGGGTACAGCTTCGACAACCAAGGCTTACTGCTAGCTGTTTACGCTTTCCGTGTTGCTTACAGAGGAAGTGCGGAAGAGGAGTCTGCTGATAGCACTGACAGCTCAGATGATCAGCGGGTACACTAAACAATAACTGTTGAACGGGTATGGTGTGATGAATGGATTGATGATTGATTGATTGATTGATTGATTGATTGATCAGATGAAGTCTAAACTGGACATGTTTTACTTCAACACCTTCATCCATGTGTTTATATCAATGCAGCAAGAAACATAAAATTTATAAATCACCCTTTTGTTCCTTCATATTTTTAATCAGTCTCAATCTGTGTGAATCACTGTAAATACTATATCCTGATGCTGCTCAATGATCCAGGTAGGAAAATCTAAAAAAAAGTTGTCTGGTCCTCTGGACATTCAAAAAGCAAAACAACAAAACAAACACACACAAAATGTAGAAACGTTTCGTCTCTCATCCAAGAGACTTCCTCAGTCTGAGGTGCTGTATTCAGCTCAGTCTCTTAAATAGCACCTTCTCAGAGTGGATCAACCAGTTTGCTGCTGACAACCATGTGTAAATGTGTGAACCATTTATTACTTCATTTTATGCTTGTGTTTAATAAATGTTTTAATGTTAAATGGTTATTGTTGCACCGGGGTCTGAGAGAAATGTAATTTCAATCCTGTGTATGTCCTGTACATGTTGCAGTTTTTGACAATAAAAGTGACTTTGACTTTGAGCAGCACCTCAGACTGAAGAAGCCTTTCGGATGAAAGACGAAACGTTTCTACCTTCTTTTTTTTTTGTTTGTTTTGGTTTTTTGAATGTCCAGAGGACCAGACTTAACTTTTTAGATGTAAATACTGTAAATAGTTATTCATGAAAAATACATAAATGTGCCAATTTATTTAATTTGAAATTACATAATTTGATAAAATATCTATAATCCACTATCAATTTATAGTGTACAGTTATAAAATGTTAACTTAAATAGTTAAATGTTTTTTGTTTTTACTAGATATTGTAAATTGCACTTGTTTTCCTTGTAATTCAACTGAATCAATCCACAAATAAAAAAAACAGTACAGTATGCTGCTCAAGTGTGTTTTAATTGAAGAATGTTTAAAATAATTCAAAACAAACTATCTACCGGTAACTACGTAACACTAGAACAATTTACATACATGTGACAAGCTTGGGTATGGATGTTATTTTTATTTTATAAACTTACTGCAACACAACCTTAGGACTTTCACCCAAGGACATCATTTATACACAGAAAAGACACTTGGGTTTGTTTACAAGTAAACACTGTGGAACGGAACTACACGAGTCTCAACTGTCACCTTCAACCTGGAATATAAATATGAAATTAACAAAAATAAATATGAATAATACTTAAGAATTGCAAAACAAACAAACATGGGCCTCACATTCACATACAAAAATCCAAAAGCCAGTCAGTCTTCTCTCAGGTAAGACACTGCCTAATAATGGTGACTCAAGCAGGCTGTGAGAGCGCAGTAAAGCATGGTAGGACAGATACGGTGGTTTTCTTGCCCCACAAGAACAACCAGGAACTGAACAAAAACAACAGCGCAGAGACTGAGCCATTTTCCTCACTGTCTAACACTAACACTATAGCCACAGGAAGTTGTGGCATTTTCTAACAATGTTGTCCAGAAACAGCTAGCGCCATTGCAGCCACACAAAATTCTGCAGGCAGCTGTTTGAACAGCTAAGTTGCAGCCGCGGGTCCTACGCGTCATTTCTTAATTCAAGATATCTAAAAGTGTCATTCTGACTAGTCATAATTACATTCGAGATATCTTGAATTGTAATTACGGATGTTTGACCCTTCAAATGACAAATAAAGTGACGTCATTCAAGATATCTTGAATTACATTTTGACTAGTCAAAATGTAATTCAAGATATCTTGAATTGTTATTCTGACTAGTCAGAATGTAATTCAAGATATCTTAAATTAGCATTCTGACTAGTCAAAATGTAATTGTGCCTAGTCAAAACTCAATTTAAGATATCTAGAATGTAACTACAGATAGTCAGACTACTCGATTTTATGTTAAAAGGGCTTGCCATAGTGCTCCAGCATCAATGTGTGGCATGGAGGCTGCACAGCTGCAGAAAGAAAAGCTTTGCAGAGAGTGGTGAAGGCTGCACAGAAGACTGTTGAGTCAGTCTCCCCACCATCACAGACATTTACACCTCCAGATGCAGAAAGAGGGCCACCTGCATCATGAAGGACCTCACTCACCCAACACAGACACACTTTTTGCTCCGATCCCCTCAGGAAGGAGGTTGAGGAGCATTAAGTGTACAAACTTATTTGTATTATCGAAAGTGTATTTCGCAAAGTGAAAGAACAGACATTTAATCTGAAATAACAATAACACACAGATCATACCTGGGATCCTGAACAGAAAATTAACATAACCAGCCGTTGAGTTTGACAAGCAAGTTACTGGTAAATTCACCAGTCTCATTCCACATCATTGAATCCATTTAACTCTTCATCCTCAGTGTTGCTTCTGAACAACTCTGCCTTTTGGGGGCATTTGACTTTTCTCAGTTGTCTCGAGGCAAACCATTCACTCTCTCACTCACACCTAGGGACAATTTAAGAGTTACCAATCAGCCTAACATGCACGTTTTTAATCTGTGGGAGGAAACTGGAATACCCGGAGAAAACGCACGCATGCACGGAGAGAACATGCAAACTCCACCCAGAAAGGCCCCCGGACCGGGATTTGAACCGGCAACCTTCTTGCTGAGAGGCTCTACCAGTTGTGCCACGGTGCTGCCCCTGACTCCCACCAGACTTTTCAAAATAAAGCTTATTGAACGCGCTCTGTCTAGTTGAAATTTTTAATTCACTACAGGGGAAGGTTAATAAGAGAGTGGGCAATGTTTGTAGGAGTATGGGAAAGGTTTATAATGCCTTAAAATATATATAAATAATAAAATAAATATAAAACCGCTACTTCGCGGATTTTCCCCTATCACGGGGGTCTCTGGAACATAACCCGTGTGATAGGTGAGGGATCACTGTATTACTGAAGTGATACAGTTCTTACACTGTATTTATTAGTTAATTCAAACTAGGTGGGCTCCAAAATGAGTGGTCAGATTCACACCTTACACCGAGATGAGTACAACCCTCCACCAGACACTCCCTCCAGACTGGTTATGATGACACAGTTGTTTACTGTCAAGCTAAAACAGTTGTTAAGGCTTTCCAGGTTTTGAGATCTGCTTTTGACATCATCCAGTCAGATTTTATCCTCAAATGGTGCTCTCTTGGAGTTTGTTGATTCCTACAAATATTTGGGTATCTTGGTTGATTCACATCTCTCGTTTAAGCTCCACATGGAAAACTTGGTAAGGAAACTGAAAGTAAAACTGGGTTTCTTTTTCAGAAATAGATCCCGTCTTGACTACTAGGAAACACCTTGTAACTGCGAGTTTCCTTCGGTGACATTATTTACATGAACGCTCCTACAAGAACCCTGCAGATGTTGGATGCTGTCTATCACGGTGCACTAAGATTCATAACTGGCCGTAACTACGTACCCATCACTGCACCCAGTATTCACTGGACAACTGGTCATCATTAACTTCACGCAGACTCTCACTAGTACATTTTCATGTTTAAATCCCTTCTTGGTCTGTTGCCTTCATACATCTCCTCCTACATGTCTCTGCATGAGTGCAGCTACAGCGTGCGCTCTCAGGACATTATTACAGGTGCTGGTCACAAAATTACAATATCATGAAAAAGTTGATTTATTTCAGTAATTCCAATCAAAAAGTGAAACTTGTATATTGTAAGGGTTTGTCCCCGAGGCTCAACGGGATTAACCTGTCTAAATAAAGCTTGAACGAATGGTTCAAGTCCAGCATTAAAATGAAAGTTTAGCCCATTATCTATAACATGAACAGATTTAAAGTCATTGTTTCTGTTATTTTAAAGCCAGCTCAGCCATCTTGACTCAGATTAACTCCAAAAACCAGTGAGTCAAGGCTGCACATACTCACTATAGGGTTCTATAACATTCCAGTGAGATATTTTGCTAACAGGTGGACACACACAGACATTGTTTTCTACACCCACTGGTATTTACCTGCAGCACACAGACAGCAGCTCCTGTTCTCGTGTTCGTAGCTACCATCAGCACACACGTCCCTTCGGTTCCGCAGCACATTATTCAGCAACAACTGGACTTTTTCTTCCGGTTCTGTAGAAACTGAGGAGCTGAGAGGCAGAAAGCGAAAGTGAAGGTGTGTGTAATGTCGATCATAAGCAAAAATAATAATAATAAGAATAAAAATAAACATTTGACCTAACTGTTGTCTGTTGTCAGTGACCAACTTATTTAAAACATCGGTGTTGTGTCGAACTCTAGCTCCCCATTTGTTGGTGTCTCGTTGCTCCACCACAAACAAGACACCGAGTTATTTTATAACATAAAACCTGAAACTAATGAAGTTTACTTTTATCTCCAGTTATCAGACAGGATTAAAGCAAGCAAATCCTGTCCTACCCATACGACCTGACCTCTTTTAAAGCGTCACTTTGCAAACCAAGTCCAACAAGAGTCTGAAAAGATTGTAGGGTTGTACTTACATCAAAGAGTAGAAAAATAAAAAAACAAGAAAGCTAAAACCCGACGAGGACTTCGCTGACTTTATCATCTTGTCTTTATGTTCACTTCGAAACAAGCCGCAACATGTTTTTGGGGCGGGTCGGTTTCAGGTGTCGTGCCATAAAGTGAAAGGCTGCCAAAAAGTGATCAGCCGCGGCGGGAGCGCGCACTAAACCAGCAGAAACAGCGACTCTTCCGGTGACGAACAGGCCGTGCGCGCTCCCGCAACGCATGATCTCTTTTTGGCAGACCATCGGTTTAAGGCACAACACCTGTCAT